GTGGTCCTCTTTACCTTACACTCTTCATCCAGAAGGTCCAAGACACCAAGTTTTGCCTCTATAAGGTCTATGCAGGGCTGGTTATTGTAGAAGTCAATGAGAGTCCAAGGGATTCCCTCCTTCATGTACTCTTCTTGCTCCAGCTTGAACACGTGCTGAGAGGGGAAAAGCAGCAGAGTTACTGCCTGTGACCCCTGCCCCCTTCACCCACTTATCCCTACTGGAGGGGAGTAGCCCCTGAACACACCCAGAAATTGTAGAAGCTTTAGGTGTCTCCACAAAGAGCTTTCTACAGGCTCTGCCATTCACACAATGCAGCTTCTGGCAAATCAAAGCCTTACACTACGAAATCACAGGACAGGAGGAAATAAAACAAAGGCTTTAAATGATTTTCACCAGGAAACAAATGAAGCTGTCACATCACCTAGGTGGGAGCCATAAATTGAAATGGCAGTGATACGTAGAGCTCTTGGGTTAAGAAAAATCCCTCTCTCCTTCAGTGCTCTGCTGGTTCAAGTAGTGATCAGCAGCAGGTTCCCAAGCTGGGAGCCCCCACCTGAGAGCAGGGCTTCACAAAAACCACCCATCATCCTAGAAGGGATATCAACAACAGCATCTAACTGACCCAGAAACATTTCTACTTCAGAGTTTTATTTAAAAAAAGAACATAATCTTTGCACAGCTTATATATCTCAGACCTCTGCCCAAGCAGATAAATTGTCTCTGGCTCGAAGACACTAAGTATATTAAAAAATGATTTTTCAAATGTACTTTTTCCTGCAAATATGACTTTTTAAAAATATTTTTAAAATCTCTTCCAATGTGTCCTCTCAGAGTTTGAATTTATAAGCTTCAGAAGTGCTAGTTGGACTAAGGATGTAAGATATGAATACTGCAAATACAATCCATAATTTACTTTTCATTTTCAGCAGCACTGATCTGATGCAGGAGATTTGCTGCAAATCTTCATGCCCATGCATCTGATACAGTTTCAAAGTGCCAGATGACTCTGCAGTCCTTAGATGCTCCAATTTAACAAGTTTTCCTGAAAATAATAGTAAACTTTTCCTTGCTTACAACAAAAGCAGAAGGCAACCCCCTTACTGGTTGCATTTCCAGTGCAGGCTTTAATGGATACAAAAACTGGTTGGGTGGCTGAGCCCAAAGAGTTGTGTTCACGGAGTTCAGTCCAGTTTGGGGCCAGTCACAAGAGGTGTCCCCAGGGCTCAGTGCTGGGGCTGCTCCTGTTCAACATCTTTATTGATGATCTGGATGAGAGGATAGAGAGTACCCTCAGTAAGTTTGCAGATGACACCAAGCTAGGCAGGAGTGTTGATCTGCATGAG